AAATATTGGTTCCTTTACTTCTGACAATAGTAGTTAATGTCTACTTACTAGTGCTAGATGCCAGTAGGAGTAGCCAAAATTTTACTATTTAATTAAACGTGATGGAATTTTCAACGAAGCTCAGCCAGAAAGGTGAACAATTAATGGCGTCAAATATTTTTAAATTCAAATTTAAAATTCGAATCAAAAAATCAAGTGGTCCCACGACACGGGAACACGCGAGACGCAACAAATAACGATTAACTAACACGTAAACACATACACAAAGGTCTATACGGTATAAAATATCGTAGGTATATCATATAATGTATAAAATACATCGCCCCGTAGCCGGTACAACGTATCTTATCGGTTTTTTCCGCGGATTGCATGCAATGTTGGCTTTTTTTCTCGTCGCAACTTACGTATCGCATTTTGAAAAAAGGTCGATTTCATCGCGGTTCGCGCGCGGCCGTTTTAATACATTCACAACTTACCGCTAATGCGTTGATTAATCTAGACCGGGGTTAGAGCGTTTGCAGTGATGCGCGCGAGGGTATCACGTCGGTTGTCGTTAACGAGAGAATATTAACGTCACGGCTCGACATCGAGACGGATCGACTTGGAACGACAGCGTTCGACGAGACCATTCGGCAACAGCCGTACGCTGCTGGTACGCGAGGGAAAACAATAACCGACAACCAGTTTTGAGACCTAGATAAATGTAGATAAATATATATAGATGATATATATTAATATATATAAATACGAGCACAATTTTGTTTCCTCAACTTGGATTATTTAAATATTTATTTCACGAGCGGTACGCATTAAGCATTGATTCAAGCGTTTTCGTGTACATAACAGTTAGCATAGTTGAACAAAATTCGGTGCAACACGATTGCCCAATTTTTCGTTTTTTGGCCCGACTAATTACACCACGATTGTGGAAAAAATGTGTAACACGATTCTGAGTGTAATAGATCGTTGCATTTATTCAATAATTGTCTTTTGAAGGAGGCAGTCTTAGATTTTCTATTGTATCTTATCTCAATATTTTGCATTTTAGAACAAATAAATAAATAAACGGCAAACGATTCAGGCTTGGAAAACAACTGACAAATATAAATGTATTTATTTTTTAGTTAAATTCAAAAAGTCAACCGTAATATGTTGATCTGACAACATTTAAAATATCTACCATTTCAAAGAGTAATTTAATTGTATATTCTAAATGATCAACAGTCGTAATGTTGGATATCAATTCTTCTGTTGATGCCTCGAAATTTATTGAAGTAACAGTGCTCATCAATGACTTAATTACACAAAATTCATTCTGAAATAAAAACTTAAATATTTTACACAATCATTTAAAAACCAAAGGACACAAATAATATAAAATTTAAGTTGCTAAAATATCAAACATTAAAATATACAGAGCATTACTTTTAATATGGTAGACGTTTCAGTCAATTCAAATGAATTTGTTTTGTAAGAGTTGATCTAAAGAAAAAAAATTCCAATAAATAAATAAAATATAAATTATGTGTCAGGCGAGATTAAAATAATATTTTACCGTAGTCTTAATTAAAATCGATTGTCCTGAGTTCATCCTTTCCTCAAAAATGTCCCATTAAAAAATTGTAAAATAATAAATACTTAATATCCCTCACAAAAATGAAAGATAAAAGTATCTAAGAAAATTATTTCTCACTTTTAGGGTATCTAATATTGAAATCGTTTGTGATGAGCTACTCGAATTCTCAGAGAATACCTGAGTTAGACAAAAGTTATAATAACACATAGCTTGGAAATAATCATTAGAATATATAAATTGAATAGGTAAAAGAAAAAAGTAATCTAATTCCAATCAATAAAATACCAATGATTGATTGAACACGGAGTTCTCTTCCGAGTCTTTGTCGGTCCAATGTTCATCTGATTTATATTCCCTGATTAAGAAATTAATTAGATTTTTGTTCTAGCACTTCATACGAAAATATTAATCTTAATTTATTACCATTTGATAAGGATGTTGTTGAATTCTTGAAAAATGGATTCTTGATTTCATTATTTAAATTCTGCAACAATCTATTGTTCATCCTACATAAGACTGATGCGTGTGGTCTCGATCCCACATAGGGGACTGACTGATTTTTGTAGATATTCGTCATCCTAAAATATATATTATGATTGACAAGTTGACTGGCTTGAGTATTATATTTAACTCACACGAATCGAACACGAGAACGTCAATAGTTTTATATCATACTTGCATTTTTCGCTTTGAGAATTAAATTTAACTCTCAAAGAATTTGTTCTCCACGCTATGAGAGTTAAAAATGATTCTTATTTGTTTATTGAGTTTTAATAGGCAAAAGTTTTTTTTTAACTCTTATTTTGTTTCATATTCGGATAGAGGAGATAAAAACATGTATTATGACAAAATACCATTTCGATACTTTTACTATTTAATAAGTAGCAGTATTTTAAAAATTACAAGTTAATTAAGATATTAAGTACTTTATTTTATATTAAATTCTTCAACTTATAATATTATAATTATTACTTTAACATATTGACAATACCTCTTTCATCCAAGTTATTCAAAAATAAGTTATAGTATCACGCATAAAAACATAAAAATCACAATATATTATATGCAATAAGTACAGAAGAACATATATGACTGACGACACACTTGATATCATATCGCTAATTGTATAACATCGTGATCAGTAATACGTTCAAAACAAAAATAATAAATACAATTGATTATAAACACTAGTAGGTATCTATAGAAACTGTCTAAATATATTGTAATAGGCTACGAGAGTTAAATTAAACTCTTACTTATTTTAATATTAAAACCCACTTAAATCGATAAATATTATCATTAAAATTGATTTGTAGCATCAAATACTATTTTTATAACCAAAAAAGTTCAAGCCATATTATGGTAAAATAAAATATTTCAATCGGCGCCGAGGCAAAAATATTTGAGTATTAAATTTAACTCTAAGAGCCTATAAAATGATTTCACTGAAAATTTCTTGCCAGTCAACTTGTTAAGATGATATTTTTTTGTAAAATCAATGATTATTTAGATATGCTTACTGACTGTCGTTTACGACTGAATGGTGGCTGGATTTATTATGTTGTCCAGGTAGTATGACTATCAGGCACCTCCATTGAGTCTGTAAAAACGGATGGTTTAGTTATTATTGGAATTATACAAAAGCATTTAAAATGTTGTAATTACCAATTCATTTACTGTACCATGTATTCTAATGAATTTCAATAACTCATCGGATATGATTAATCTATAACCCGTGCTATTTAATGGGGTTGTTGTTGAATTCTGGTAAAATGGATTCTTAATTTCATTATTTAAATTTTGTAACAATCTACTGTTCATCGTACATAAAACTGATGCGTGTGTCCTCGGTCCCACATAAGGGACTAACTGATTTTTGTAGATATTCGTCATTCTAAAATATATATTATAGCTGAACCCGTGCACTTCGTAGCCCATATATAGAATTCGTCCGTGTGCAGTTATTGCTTTCTCTAAATGCAATTCTTAAATCAGATGTTTATTATTTACCTTCTTTCTTTTTTTGATCCCCTAGCAACAAACGAATATAATACTATAAACGACGTAAATTTTCAAACGAAAATAATAGCACGTAGGTTGTACAGTTAAAATTAGTTTTATAATAACTAATAGCCGACTACTGTGCGCTTCGCAGCACCAACACAAAAATGCAATAAAAATTATTTATTTTTTCTAAATTCTTTATTATTAATCCAACACATTTGTATATACAATATTCTTTGTTTGTCCATTTGAGGCATACACAAATAAACAATTTGGAGTGCCAACTCTTGAACAGGCCACGTATAATTGTCCATGCGAAAAACACGGCTCCTCCAAATCCAAACCGCATACTTGGAGCGTTTGTTCTTGTGCCTTATTGATGGGCATAGCGAATGATAGGTGCACGGGGAATTGCAACCGTTTGAATTCAAATGGCATGTCTGTTGGTATCAGAGGAATACGTGGGATGAGTACAAATTCCCCCTTCGCTTTACCAGTCAATATTGTGGCTTCGATTAAATTCGGCATCAATCTTTTTACAGCTTATCTTGTGCCGTTGCACAGTTTTGGTGCATTCAAATTCCGTAGTAAAATAATTGATGAGCCGACCTTCAAATTCAAAAAATGCGGCGGTATACCGGGTGGTTCAAACGAATTCAAAAATTCAACTGGATAGTTGACTGCATCATCTTCATTCAATGCGCTATCAATAGACTTGTATGATATTACTGCACCAGGCAATTTTTCTTGGATCAGATAATTGATAGCATTGACTTGCACATATAATGCGTTACATCTGAATACAGCAAAGTTCTGGCAAATTCATCACTTGCGCACAATTGAAAAAATGTGGTTAATGTTGTTACTGGTGGACGTGCCACTCTCTCTTGAACATTTTAAATATACACGTAAAATATACACGTTGGCCATTTTTAAGATGAACTGCCAAATGAACAACAGCAGGAAACCGTTCATGCATCGGATATGAATAAATTCTCCAAAGAGCCTCATTAGTGCTGATGTAGCGGCCTATTTGATATTGAGCAATTTCATCATGACTATTGTCAGCAGCTACTCCGAAAACAGCCATGTCACTGCCTTTGTTGACATACTTGCAATTGTATTTGATCGATTTGACCGAATTGCAATACTCAACGTTAATGTGTGCCTTAAATATTTTCGACAACAGTGGTGAGTATGGAACTACCCAACGATTATCAACTTCGATGTCTTGATTTTACATTCTAATCGTTACCGTATGGCCATTATCTTTAGTAGACCGACGTCGGTACAACGGATATCCATCATCACCTGTTATTGTGTCAGAAGTCAATGCTCTTGGGTACCGTTTTGAACATTTTCCATCGATCATGCATGGAGAATTCAAATTGAGTGCACCGCAAGGACCGTGAATCATATTTTACTTGACAACTTCAAATAATTCAGGATCAGCAATTTCATCTGGAATTTCAGCTGATATAATGCTATCAATTTGATCCGGTGTTATTTTACGTAACAGCCATATCAATATATGTGCATGCGGAAGCCCTCTCTTTTGCCATTCGACCGAGTACATCCAGCAACGCACCTCTCCAAATACTCGCAATTCGATAATCAAATCAATCAGCGCTTTCAATTTCTGTCGAAATACACGTGCTGTTATATCGTGGCGGTATGTTGGTGTCTGACCTTTAAACAAATTGGTTTTTATGTCATCCCACTATGGATTGCATGTGAATGTTATGAAGAGGTCAGGGCGGCCGTATTTGCTAACGTACGACATTGCATCTTGTGTATATTGATGCATGTGACGCGGACTGCCAATATAAGTCGTTGGTAGTATTGTTAAACGTCCAATATTATTGACATCGCCATCATTCACTATTGCATCTTGTAAGTGTATGTACTCTTCCGATCGCAATGCCGCTTGATTGAATCTAAGGTAATTGAGACGTTCTGATTCAATCTTCGCATACATGTCCACAGCGTATTGATGGAATAGTTTGCCACATCTCAAAATGAAGTTGTCTTCTTGTGGACGAACCATGAATCTGTATGAGTAATAGTTCATTGCACTAACTGTCTTGCCTGGTATGTCGCGACCATTAATAAATACAATGATAGAAAATTTAAATGTCTGATTGTTTTACTTATTACTATCCTATGATTATCGGATGGCATAAGATCAAGAGCGATTTTGAACAATTGAACTAATTCATTGTGTTGATGGAAAAAAATTTGCAGGTCCAAAATAATTTGACGCCTTGCACTTGGAGCAATTGCACAACGACGATTCAATTCATCATTGCTATTCCCAACAAAATAGATTTGCAAAAATTGAGGTTCGGTGTCAGGGAATGGCAATAATGAACCAGCTCTAAGATAAATCTGGGCTTGAATCTGTAACATATGAGAAATACAATTTGATATTGGATCAGAATTCGTGAAAATATCAAAATAATTGCTGGTCAGGTTACATTTTTCGAAAGATATTCCGTATGAAATAATTACCTTGAACGTCGGCATAAAACTGTCTCTTATAACTTTTTTCGCACCAAAAGAAGTCATTTGAAATGGCGTATTATATTCTTGAATGTGGGACAAAAAATTCTTGGACGTTGGTGATGTTCCAAAAATCAATGAGTGCAGTGGATCAGGTGGAGATTCGAATGCTGGCAATTTCACTTTGTCATTAGTACAACACATGCCAGCCGTTTCACCTGGAAATTTGGCTGCAGCACAATGTATATATCTCATCGTCATTCCACCAATATATTGAAATGCAGCAAATTCCATGGCTTGTGCACGACGCGAAATTCGTGACGTTCGTCTTGATGCTGGATTTACTGACGGACCTGCAGATGTAATTCGATGTTCATTTCGTAAATGTTGAACACAACATTTCGTTGTAAATGTGCCTCTTCACTTTGAGATCTCCTATGAGACTGTTGGGCGACATAATTACGTGATCGTCGGCCAATGTTTTGTCGTCTTGATCGTGGCATTTTTTAACGCCTAAATCCATACAATTCAAATTGAATAAAAATCAATCTCATTTAATCTCAAACCAATAAATATTACCATAGACGCGCGTGCCACGGAAACAAATAATAAAAAATAACTGCATAGAGTGTACGAGTATCTCCATGGCAAAACAATAATTTTTGAATATCGTGCGTGCGCGCGTGATTAATATTGTACATTTAAGAGGCCATAACTCCGGAACCACATATTCCACAGTGTACAAACTTCAGAGAAACCATCTACATATCAATCTTAATATGCCCTAAAATTTTTATCGAAATCGGTTCGGTGGATCTTGAGCTATAAAATTTATTCAAAATGTACATCGATTTTTATATATATAGATAGATAGATAAAGATAGATAAATTCGCTTCTATACGAAAAAAAAAAGAATTACATATTTCTATTAAAAATTAATTTTTTTCATAATTAATACTTTGAATTTGTATTGTTAATTTGTATTGCTAAAAAAAAAAAAAAAATTGTATTTTACATAATAATATTATTTATTAGGTATTGTTTATTATTAACCTTTTCGTTTGGAGGCCCGGAACTAGGTGCTTAAATATAGAGTATCACTGCGTTCATTGTTGGGTTGTGTTGGTGATTCGTCGACCGTCATTATGCTCTACCCTAGAAATTATTTAAATGTGGCCCCTGCTTTAAAAGTAGGTATTAAAAAAAAAAAAAAAAAAAATAATGATCTTCATCTTTATCGAGATAAAAAAGTACTTATCCAATCCCAACGCTGCCGACAACGCATAAGCCCCGACAAACCATGCAGACTCGAAGACCGGTGTGCTATCCGCGGTTCTGGCGCGCGTCGGCTGGTCGAAAATTCAAGTCTCACCGGAACGCTCGCGACCGAGACCGTACGATTTCGGTGCCCGATGCGATTTTAAACGCGGTCGTGCGAAAAATACCACCGGTATAATTTCGCGTCGGTAAAATATGCGACACGACGAAAACACTCGTCCGAACGGTACGCGATAGCGCGCGCCCGAACGATATTGAAAACCGATTACGACCGTTTGTCATCGTCACAGTCAATGGATCGTTCGTTAACGACGACGGGGCCCTTTGCGTAACGTCGGTCGACAGGCGAATTTAACGGGCTTAATGCGACGTCGGCACTTGTGCGGCGTTTGTTGACGTCAGTAAATTATGTCGACACGCGCTCACAACGTATTGCCGTATCGGCGACGGTCTCCTTCGGCTATTTGTCACACGATTCGCATTTGCGTACGCGTTCGCGGTATACGTTTGCGATCGTAAAAAAAAAAAAAAAAATAATATATCCCGGAGTGGTTGATTCAATCGTAATCGTTTTTTAACTTCCATCATCAATCGTTGTTTAAGATATGTTAAGATATATTATGACGTAAGATGACGGCTTGCAGATACGATGATGGAGGTGGATATAATTTTAAAACACTAAATCAGAATGCATTGTAAACGTGATGACGTAAAAAGTTTGAATTTATATATAATTTTGTTTGATTTATTGTATTTTTAAAAATTGTGCGCTTTACGAAACACACTTTATTAATTGGATTCAAAAATATATGATACGTTTATTTTAAGTCCATTCGAAAAACGACGTCGCTCCGTTGTTAAGCCCTATAACCCGAAACCGTTTGGCCCTACTCGTAGACTATAATGTAGTTATCTATTTTGTTTCGACAATATAATATTTAAAATTTCACTGACGCGTAGTTCGTACGAGATCAGAGTTGAACATTTGGTCGTGTTCAGTTGCCGCAATACGATGTGATTTCGTCTTCTTAGCGAATCTCGTGTTCGTGTTTTTCATTTTTTTTTTTTTTTATACTGGTTTTACCGCCGCTATAATTATAATTTGTGCAGTGCAATGTCTGATCTGCCGTACGATAAATATCCACTATGAACACCGTACGTTATGCGCTATAAACTAATAGTTCAACAAACCGTTAAAATTCAGTAGTTTAATACAACATTGTTATTGCGCAATAAAATGTCCCTCGTGAAATCGATAAAATGACGCTTAAACTTGTGCGTGTTGATCTGTACCAGGTTTCAACGGTCGTTTCGTTTTAAGCCATTGTCGATTCGTCTTACTCGTTTTCCTCAACATTTTCGTTTTTTAAACCGAAACGCTCAACAGTCTAAGCATTCGTTTGCTTATTCCCTGCAATTAGGCTGACAATTTTAAACAGTGCGGTCGATCACACACTGCGTGAATGCCATGATACGTAGACATCTGGGATTATCATTGTGAACACGAGTCACTATTTATGTCCACACTACACTGTACAATCGATTAGTATTGTATTATATTATACTATACGCAGGACGATGGCGTACAATTATAATTGATTTTTATTTGTTTTGGGGCGGTAGAGGAAAAATACACGTTCGTGTTACATGGGCACCGATCGGCGTCCGACAAAACGGAGTGATAATAAACGGTTGGTGTTCACGTTTATCGACGACATCCGGTTTCGCAGACGTACGTATAATGATAAAAAAAAAAAATGTTTGTATTTACTACTATACTGACTAGGTTCCATCTGGTTATTTCATCTCCCGAAAACTTCGTTACGCGTTTTTCAACTTATACGTATCCTTGCTGGATAACTGTATCAAGACGCTCGTCGATGTTGCGGAAAAACGTATTGAAAGACCTTCGCTGTTTATGGGTTTGAGAGATAAAATAAACATTGAAAATAAACCTCAGAGATTAGATATTTTCATGGGTTTTGTCGAAAAACCGTCCCCGAAATCCCCTTTCTCGGCATACGATGTACACCATCGACAGACAGTAGATACGGATAAAGCGTTACTACTGTCTGTGAACCATTCAGCGCTGTGAACACTATCACCGATGCTTCCGGAAGTCTACAAACGTCGGTTCGAATTCCAAACAATTGCGCTAGCCGAGTACGTGATTTTTCAACCGACCGTTTAAGGGCAATGGTTTTAGGGGATACGTTACAGTTTGGTTTTCCTAAACGAATTATATGAACTCCTTGGGATGATGATTACGTCCGGAAGTCTTGAATCCGTTTCCTCGAAAGTTCCGACAAACGTTTATGTGAAATGGAGCGCAAAAAGTTTTGTCACGAAAGTTTTACGGAAGACCGCGAGTTCCGGGCGCAAGTACAAAACAAGTTACTTACTTCATTTTGGCTGTTGAAAACAAAAAAAAAAACGGAGGGAAAAAAATATGAGAATTCGTAATATTTTATTATTATTTACGACGCTGTGTCAAAATGATTTATCTTTGTGATTATACTTAATTAAATCCATTTACCCGACCTCGGTCGTATCTATACGCCGGTCCACTATCCTCGCGTCGTTAGCTGGCCGTCATAAGACTCCGGTCACGACGCAATTTATCTGCTCAGCTTGCAAAATATATAACAATAATATAGCAACGCGCTTTTTTCTACTGATGTTTCGAGCACTAGATACATATAAGAGTATTCGATCCGATTCAGATCTGGAACGGGATGATTTCCACCGTTCTCCCAAAGAAAAAACAATTAGAATTGAGCGATTTTTGTACGGTCCAAAATACATTTGAAATAAATTAAAATATACCTATATATGTGTATTGAAGCCGGAAAACGTGCCTTTATAACGTGGGGGGGGGGTTGGATTTATATACCTTCCTCATGCTTACATAACATCGGTCTTGATCCGTCCTCGGACGGCATACAGTCGAAACTCGCTAAAGAACTCGAAAAATCGTCGGACGCCGTGGAATAAAACGTTTGATTAAACATATATTAGGGCTCCGGTGCGAAAACAATGGCGCACGTACCTTGTTTGATATTCAACCGCACGCACGTAAATGCAATTTGAGGAAAGTTTAGCTATATTTTTTTTGCCGTTACTCGCTATAATGCACGACATACTAGCTGAAATGTCCAGCGTCGCCCAGGAGAGTTATTTTTCTATAAAATATCCTTACTAGCGCCGTCGTCACCCGATTCGTACGAGTACTCCCATTATTAATGTTCTTGTTTTTTTTTTCCGAACATGTGTCCGTTAGCTCCACGCAGGAGCGCACTTGGTGCCCGTCCCGTCTATCGAAAACGCCCTGGGCAAAGCCGGCACAAGGTATAGATAAGCCAGGCACGTGCCTAGAGCGACACTTTAATAGGGGTGGCATTTTCAAAATCGGGTCACACATTTTTTTATTTCTATCGGTATCCGAAATCAGTTCTTGAGTTCATATATAGAACTGTACTTCAACGATTATGTGATAATAATTTAATTTACTTCAATTGTAACCGTTGCAACAGTTGAGAGGAGTTACACAAACCTTGAAATATTAATAATATAATACTAATATTAATATTTGCGATAAAATATATCTCAAGACTAATTAGTCGATCATTCTACTGAAAGCAAAATCGCTGAAGAATTATAAGTAGATAACCTTATACAGAGCTTTGTGTTAATAAAATCAAGAAAAGTCAATTTTAATTAAATTAAGTTTGTTTTATTTTATTTTATCAATATTATTATAATAATATTTTTTTTTAATTTTTTAAGATTATTAGGACGTTATGCTGCAGCCGTATCACGAACGGGTGAAGTATATCTGCAAAGGACGTGGTTCAAAGTGACAAGTTCGATCGAGTTTTTCCGGATTCGTTGGAAAATCGAGTAAACGCACATTTTCCCGTTTCGCAGGACAGCGGTCCCTAACCGTTCCGTGTTTTTCAATTTGTTTGATATTGACGTCTTCGACGTCAAACGTCTATTATTGTAATTAAAAAAT